ATCATCTGATGTTGAGGGATGCCTGTATCATGTCAGTAGATTCACATGTAAATGATAAGAGTGTCATTACCATTGTAATGTATCACGCTGTCATCATTGACAGTCAACCCCTCAAGTTCACCACAAAGTGACTTCAGGAAAGTACTGCAGCCCGCACCGGGGCGACCAAGCACCAGAAGAAGCTCCCCACTCTTCAAAACACCGTTGAACTCATTCAAAATCCGCTTGGGCGGGGAGTGACGATTCCGAAGTGCCTCTCCAACGCGTAAAGGGGCAGTGAAGGTCGATGCGACAGTATCCTGGAATTGGACGGCCGCGCCAGTCCCTGAGATGGAAAGGTTCTTGAACACGATGCCTGGTCGAAGATCGAGAGCACCCTCTCGACGAAACTCACCGAGACCATATGCGAGCCACTTTCCGAGGTCGAACTTGTCCGTCTGGGGGTCAAGACAGGGGTCATCCTCTCGGATCGTACCCATAGTATCTGGACGAGCAGAGACGGCTGTACGCTGGGTATAGACGCTGGAACGCCGTCTAATGGACTCATGGGTCGCGATCCGAACTAGATTTTGTCTCTCCTCATGGCCAATGAGGGCCACAGAGGGGTGGGATGGATCTTCTTCATTATGCGTATGCTGTGTGTTAGGTGTGTTTTGTCGTAATAGGTGGTCCTCGTCCTGGGACCAGGGCCCGGTCTGATCGGGAGCCATGTTGTAGACGCTAGCCAGCTGTCAAACGGCAGCGATCACGGAGGAATAAAGGGGGATGCGATGATTTTTCTCGTTGTTGTTCTAAAAGGAAAACCGTGCTCACGCCCCAGTCATATATATGACAACCTCGCATTCCCCTGGCCGGTATATCGGTCCCCAGGGGGTCCGATGTGGCTTCCATGGTTCAAGATACAGAGCTTGAGTATACATCATGCCAAGTCGATCTAGGCTGTGCGTATACTCGGATGCGGATATTGGCATGGACCGGTAAAGTTGTGGAGCAGGGTTCCAGCCTACTAGCTGGCCATCGGATCTCGCAAGAATAGATGCCGTTGAGGGTGCCTGAAGCACGCCCGCCAATAAACGTGGGCCATTGTGGGATGTGTCAGCGGATCTGTGTCTTCAGGGGACCCGATCAGCCACGTTGATCCACAAGTGGATTGTGGATGAGATGCAAATCCAGGGGGCCCGGCTTCCGAATTGAGCGGATAGCGGAGTTTCTGCTTGCTTAACAGCGCTGACTAAGTATCTCCGCTGACTGTGCATTGACTGCCTCAGGCTGGCACGGCCCGGATCGTCATGACTATCGGATGTTAAACTTCGCAGAGGCCGAGCACTAGTTAAAACAGGAGTTCAGGACTTCAGTATCCGGATAATGCTGTCGGCAGATCTGGAGGGATCTGCAACGGTTTACAGTCATGTGAGTATGGACAGTGGATGCTTGCCTTTCCCTACGTCATACCCATTGCGGTAGAAATGTATCAGATCGAATCCTAAGGTTTTTTCTAGGATTCGGTCTGGTGCGCTTCTTCAGGCAATGAATCCTCCGGATCAAATATGCTAGGCTATCCGGTCACCTCCTGGAGTACCATGCAAAAGAACATTCTTTTCAGATTCACACAAGTCAGATATTATATTAGCTATTGATATACTTATATATTTATTACATTCAATGTCCTTCCAACAAGCGGAATGATATTGATCATATCATCTATTACCTTTACAATTTGTATGGTACTTTGTCTTAGCCTCCACAGATCTCTAATCGTATGTATATCTTTGGTTGAAGAAGACATCTTTCATATAATATTATATGGGTGACCGAGTCGGTTAGATGCTATATATATCTGGTGTTAACGGTCAGTGGTTAGATATACTTGTCTGCAACTATCATCTATAACCACACAGCTGATAATGACCGTCTCAGGCCACTATGAATTGACCTCAAGCTAGTCGTTTAGGCGAGTGGATGGTTTGGTTATTATCTGGATACTCTAAGACAGGAAGACTGGGCAGAATCTTTAGGTAAAAGCCACATAGTAGAGGCTCTGATGAACTGGGTGTATCTACACATTAACTACTGTGTGTCCCGACAATTGATATATATACTTAGTGAGTAACGTCCACATTTCCCACATGCATAATGTTTTCATTGGTAGAAAAAGGCCAACGACTGTCTCATCGATTGGCAAGACCATATCTACCATCATCATGTCCCATAACACGTTCCTTATGTACAGTCCATAAAATATTTATCATCAACCCCCGCCCCTACCTTCAGGCATAATACTCCTCCACCCACTCCTTGATCTGCTTCACCTCATTATCCACCACCTTTTTAACCCCCTCATTCGCATAATAATCCGCCATATACAAATCCGAGCAATGGAATCCGCCCGGGATAATCTGCACGGGTTCATTCGCCGTGCTCGCCAGCGGTCCACCGGGCCGGAAAGTGCTCGACACACCGGAGTCCCGCCAGGGGTCATATTGCCTTGACCGGTTCATTAGCAAGGGTCAATCACAGTTTACGGAATCTAGGACACCTACCCGTTCGTCCAGATCAACCGCGTCGTGTTGCGGGTCATATCCCATCCACCGGTCCAGCTGTTCACCGTGGCGGCGTTCTTACCCTTCGCGCTGCCGTACGTGTAGCCGTTCGTTTCGGGGAAGTAGAGCGGACATTGCCGTTGCCAGTAGGAGGCGCTGACGAGTCGGGGCACAATGGTGGAGGTACCCTCGGGAGCACCGCTGGATGTTTATTAGTGGGTTGTTCGTGTGTTATCATGGAATGAGGTAAGGGGTACGCACTCCTGCCAGTAGAAGAAAGGCTCGTTGCAGAGGAACCATTCCCATTGGCGGTCGACGGCATTGCCTACGGAGGTATCGGTGTAGATGGGGCTCGAGGCGTTGTAGCTGTCGAAGCAGGCGACGCTCCATTCGTCGGTCCAGTAGCCGTAGCTTGCGCAGTCTGTCACTGGGTTAGACTTGAAGATAGAGAGGGATGAGACAAGGGGTGGTGGAATACAATCAGGGAGAATGGTTGAATTGAACCAGTTTGCGTAGTTGGCCAGGGCCTTTTCGAGGCCGACACCCTCGGGGCCGGGGGTTACTGCCGCGCCGGCTTCGACACCCTGCTTTCGTTAGTATAATGCTATGCTATGGGGCTGTTAGAGGTAGCCTACCTCGACGGCGTCACAGAACTGGAAGAAGGAAGAGTATCCCGTGGCAAAGTCGTTGTCTTGCCAGAGGTACGGTCCGTTGGGGAGGACACTGTTGCTGTCAGAATGGCTTCTCCTATAGAAATGGAAGTACTCACGCGGCAAAGTCATCAAAATGCTCAACAGCTCCCAGACCAAACAATTCCTTGAGTGCCTGCTGCTCCTTGGCAGTTCCGTTCTTTCCAATCTTGTCGACATACTCGGCTACCAGAGACACGTCCTTGCTGCAGTTCTGTGCCATACCTTGCTGGATGGGGTAAAAGTATTGCCACTGATCTGGTTAGCTGCGAGTAGAGACAAAAAAAGCAGGGTCGCACCCACATAGTCGTAGATAGCCTCCACAGGAGCACTAGTGGCATGGTAAGCCCAGAACGTTCCAGGCGCGACAGATTCGGTCCAAGCCGTCAAGGCACCACTGTATGATCCACCGACCATGACCCAGGGCTAGATCGTCAGCACCTATCAGAAACACAGAGCGGTGAAGGTTACATACAGCATTCTGCGCATTGCTGCGGGTGCTGTTATCGAATTGCAGCTTCACCGTCTCGGCGAAGTAGGTCATGTCCAGAATGGCTTGGTCCAGTGTGAGGTACTGAAGAGTTTCGGCATTGAGCACCTCATAAGGAGAAGAATCACCCCAGTAGCGGTCTAGATTGGGATCAATCAGCTATGTTTCTTCCATGGCAGCGGTGACACTCACGCTCAATGAGAATGACGGCACCCTGGATCTCCTGCGCATAGACACCAGTGAGAGTCTCATTGGTGAGATACCCCTCATAGCCATCGGCAGAGACCTCTCCAGGAGTAAAGAGGACGACCTAGTCTAATCAGCAATGTTCCTCATGATCACGGACGTTGCCAACGGCTAGATTCCAATATGGCCGGTCATACGACCAAATGCTAGAGACGTACCGGTGACCCAGGACCACCCCAGTATTCAGTACTCCACCAGTACCTCTGGGAAAAGGTGCCCTTCTCCGGATTATGATGGTCCAGCAGCTGCTCAAAGTAAGCCTCGCCCGTGGTCGCAGCCGATTTACTCGAGGCTGGCCGAGAGACAGGCTTGGGCACAAGACGGGGGCGAGCAGCCTGAGCCAGAGACGCCCAAGAGAGCGCCAGGGCCGCAGCAGCGACAGCGGAGAAGGCACGCATTGTGAGCTGTCGATGGGAACAGAGGATCCTACGACCACAGTAGACGAACTGGCACGAGAGGACGGCCAGCGCCGGAGGAAAGCGAGCGATTTATGTCTGCGCCGGCGCCATGGCGTGAGCGCAGCAGGGACTCCGCTCCTGCTAGGCGATACTACCTTACTCCAATGCATAGATTAAACCAGGCACGGCATGAGGAGTGCGGCAGAGACGAATACTGAGCGTGACTGCAGAATTGATTGTTGTGCACCGTCGGAGAGCGTCGGGGCAGCCGGACGGGGTGGAGCCCGCAGATGACATCGTCAGAAGATAAATGGATGAGATGCTGATGGAGGCGAGCACATTGCAGGCTAGACTAAGACACTTTAGCCTTTCGTAGTGCCGGCGCCGCGGGGAGTCCGGCTGCAGTGCCATCGGAGGTGCGCCTGCAGGAACGCGTGATAACGAAGATTGAGAGATAGCAGGATTGTGATTGCGAGATAACGCGGAGATGTTAATTAATATCCGCAACGGCAATGGCATGATAGTATGGGAATCAGATGGAATGCGGGATGCTATGCTAAACGGTGCATTTGGATGCAGTATCTATAAAAGAAGAATACATTTGAATACAAGTGATAAATAACCCCATCTATCTTTCTTACAAGTCACCATCCTCATCCTCGGGCGTCGTCTTTCCCTGCTTGTTGAGGCGCGACATCTCCACCTGCTCCCCCCGGCCAGCACCGCCGGCCGTCGACATCGCAATCGCCTGTCGTCCCGTATCCGAAGACTCAAGAAACTCGCGCAGTCGCTTCTTGCCCTCCACGAGCGCCTGGTTCGACGCAGCCTCCGTCATCTTCATGATCGGTCCCCACAGATTGAGCTGGTACGTCACGTACCCTGCAATGAGGCACACAAACAAGAGGAAGAAGTAGGCGGGGTTACGGAGAACTGCGCACAGTTAGCCATGATCAATCCACAATCCGAGATTCATGGAGCGAAACTTACCAGCAACGATCTCGTTCCAGCCAAGCGCCAGAAGAATGCCATAAAAGTATAGGGGCACCTGCGTCATGCCGCCAATGGCGCTGCGCTTGGCCTCCACATACACTCCATCCGCAGCCTTCTTGAACCGCACCGTCAGCTCCTGTCGCTTAGACTCGCTGACAATTGTCATCTCCTCTTCCAAGCTCTTGCCCTCCTCTTCGTCGACTCCACCGATCGGCGGCAGGTCCTCCTCATCGGCCGCAGTCGCAGAGCTGGGTGTGTGCCCAACCCAGCGATCCAGTGGCGGCGGTGCAGACGTCTCCGCCAGTCGGAAACGTGATAGAAGGGGAATCAAGGTTAACGTTGACTCGCGCGCCCGCGTGTAGATGCCCTCAATGTCATCGGTTGGCCGCCAGATTCGGGGCACCCCGGCGTCATCGTAACGGAACTTGTCTTCAAAGTTCTCGCGCAACTTCAGTAGCAGATTGCCCTCGACCATTTCTTCGTCGATCTTCGCACGCAAAACACCCCAAGACTTACGGCGCAACCGCCACAGGCCAACATCCACCTCCTCTAGGCTGGCATCGAAGCTACTAGCGCGGTCGGTGAATCTGCGCTCCGCATCCAGCACGGTCTCCACGAACACATTCCATACTCGGTCCCAGAATTTCTTCTCCGTGGGCTTTTCCCCCTCCTCCGGAGCGCCACCCCCGGCCCGTCCGGACCCCAGGGCATTGAACTCGAGACCAACGGACTCGCCCAGGCGGGACTGCACCCAACGCTCGACCCGGCTGGCCAGTCGTCGCATCTCCTCACGACGCAGGCGAGCGCTCACTTCCGCCAGCTCCTTCTCATACAACACCAGTTGCTGCTGAGAGTCACTCCAGGCGGCGCCCTCCACGGCGGTTTCGTGCGCAACCTCCTTGAACTTCTGTACGGCCTTGGTCACTTCCTCGTTCACAATTTCGGCGAAGTCATAACCGGTACCCTTCTTCTGGCCGGCCTTGACTGCACCCGACACAGCGTCGCTGAACTCGGTGATACCAGACTTGTGGGTCGCATCCAGCTGGCCCTGGAAAAGAGCCTTCAAACGGGTATCGATTTTGCTCTCGAGCTCGGTACGTTTGCGCTGGTAGACTCCCTTGTGGTAGCGACTAGCTTCCGTTTCGAAGCTCTTGAAGGCCTTGGACCGCGAGGCCCGCATCGCCGCTCCCAAGCCGCCAAGGATCTCCGGTTCCCCGAGGCGAGCCGCCTGCGACTGCTTATCCTCAAAGGGAACGATCGCATCGTCAAATGCAACCATAACCTCCCGCAAAATTTCGTCACAGCGGAACTGTGCAAGCAGTTCCTGCTGAGTAGGGAGGTCAAGATCCTTGTTGTTCACAATTTGGTCCCAGATTCCCTCCGCATAGTGAGAAAAGCCATCCGCGGGAATGCGACGGTGGTACTCGGGGAGGAAGACGCCTCCATCGGAAAACTCGCCCTTGCGCGCATCCAAACTGGGGTCCTTCTGTCCTTCACGGAAACGGAGACTCAGCTTCTTTGTCTCCGCAACAAACTGCTCTGGCTGGTAGCTTTTGTGGGGAAGGCCGTAGAATTGGAAGTCGAAGTAATCATGGACAGAAGAATGTTCCAAACCGGCAGGCTTAGAGATAGAGTCCCATAGGCGCGACATATCCTCCATCAGTGTCCGCTGCAGATTCTGGAGAGGCGTGTTGCCGACAAAGTCACGAATGACGAAGAAGAGTAGAGAACGGTGACTGGTACTATAGGTTAAGGGTCAGCATGAAGCACGAGCAATACGTAGAACAATCCGCGAAACGTACGCCCTATCTTTCAGGAACAGCTGCATGTTGACTTCAAAAACGGTCTTCAACAAGCCCATGTTGGCACCCTGATACAATCCAACCTGATGCTCCCAGATATTGACAATGAGGACTTCACTCGTCGCAAGCGCAAACAGTGCGCTCTTGCGCTCAAAGTCCTGGTCCTCTCCACGCTCGCGACCATCGGTACCCTCAACATCCATGACCAAGATGTTGTCGGACATTGATCCGTCGCCACCATTCTTATTTTTGGACATCCAGATACCCTTGGTGGTTTGACGGCGTTCCAACTCGGACATCACGGAGAACTGGGTGCCGAAGAGATGGTTGAGCAGGGTCGACTTTCCCGTCGACTGGGAGCCGAAGACGGATATGAGGTGATAATTGAAGCCGGCTGGTGTGACATCTTCTAAAGTGAGATACTTGGACAGATTCGCACTGGAGTAGGTGTTGTTAGCTGATGCGCCGCTCAAACGCCCCTTAACAGGTGATGCGGATGACGGAGAGTCGCATTCTGAATTTATTCCCCTGAGACTTAACCCAGACGTCACAGAACAACGACCGTCGTATTGGAACTCATAGACATGAGGAAAGGACCTACTTGAACTCCTTGTTTTCGTCGATGACCTGCACCCCGTGTTCATATGCTGTCTTGTCGCTGCTGCCGTTGCCAATGGCGGCAAAGTGGCCATTGGTTGCCATGACGGAAGACGTCAGTTGCACTGCTGCCGCAGAGTAGTCTTAAAGCGCAGGTTTCGTGCTGGTGAATGAGTATGGGATATGGGATAGTTGTTCTGTTTTCCGGGGGTGGGATGAGACAACGACGGGGAGCGCCGCTGGAACAACGTCAGATGCGGAGAGCGTGGCGAAAGTAAAAGGGTAGGGGCAAGTAGGTGCGGGATGTAAAGGTAAGGGGAGAAGGAGAAGAGTCGAGACGGATGAGGTCAAGAGAGGATCACCATGGGAGACGGGCAATCACAAGACGACAATGGGATCCACACCGAGGTCTGGTGGAAAGCGAGTGTGAGAGAGGAGAGCTGGAAGAAGCCGGGCAGGAAGGAGGGCAGGAGGGCTTCTAGTCCGGGCGGTGGTCACTCTGGCCAGCCTCAGGAGTTGATCCCCCGTTGCAGTTGCCAGCCAGTCTGCTGGTCGCCTGAGCCTCCAGGCCGCGATCGTCTGATCCCGCCTTAAACCGCTTTGGGTTAGTGAGAGTCCGTGATCTGGGCAACCGGATCGGGGAAAATAGTTTGTAGCGTAGATAGATCGGATCGTCTGTCTTGATCTACCCCAGTTATGGAATACAATAAGTATACAAAAGACCTTGCAGTGATGACATTCGAGTAAATCATTCAATCATATTCAACGACATACCGAGAAGTGAGAAGAGAGGAGAAGAGATACAAAAAAAGTCTACAGACATTTCAATACAAATACAGATACATGGATATGACTCAAGAACTCCGGTGCAATCCACCACCCTGGCGTATCAGTCCCGGATGCTCCCGCTGATGCCCGCGCTGCAAGATGGTGTTTAAACATTATGAACGATTCCCTGTCCAAGTTTTGTTTTCGCTTCGTTTTTTCCCATAGTACACAGCAGCCAGTTGTCCGGGCCTGCTACACGAACCTCGGTGGGTTCGCTATTTACTCTTCCAGGACACGAGTGACCAGACCAGTGGCGACAGTGCGACCACCCTCACGGATGTTGAAGCGCTGACCGGCCTCGGCGGCGACGGGGCGGTGGGTCTTGACGATCATCTCGACGTTGTCACCGGGCATGATACGGCGGGACTGGTCTCCGTCGGGGAAGCTGAACTCAGCAGCCTCATCTGTAGCAAATGAAATTAGTGAATGTTGTCTAGTGGCGGAATAGAATGCGATTTCACTTACCGGCAGTGCGGATGAACAGCTGGGGACGGTACTGGACACCGAAACCGGTACGGCGACCACCCTCAGCCTCGGTCAGGACGTACATGGAGACCATGAACTTGCTGTTGGCCTTGGCGCTACCAGGGGCGGCAATGACCATACCACGGCGGAGATCCTCACGGCGGACACCACGGAGCAGGAGACCGGAGTTGTCACCAGCGCGGGACTCGGAGCAGGACTTCTTGAAGGTCTCAATGTCGGTAACCTTGGTCTTGATGACCTCGTTGGTGGTACCGATGATCTCAACCTCGCTATCACGCTTCAGGAGACCACGCTCGACACGGCCGGAGGCGACGGTACCACGACCGGGGATGGAGAAAACTTCCTCAATGGACATCAAGAAAGGCTTGTCAAGGTCACGCTGGGGAGTGGGGATCCAGGTGTCAACGGCCTCGAGGAGAGCGTCGATACGCTCGGTACCGATGTCGGGACGGCGGTCCTCAATGGCGCAGAGAGCAGAGCCGAAGACGATGGGGGTCTCCTCACCCTCGAATCCGTAGGTGCTAAGAAGCTCGCGCATTTCCAGCTCAACGAGCTCCAGCATCTCGGGGTCATCGATGGCATCGACCTTGTTGACGAAGACAACGATCTTCTGGACACCGACCTGACGAGCAAGCAGCAAGTGCTCACGAGTCTGGGGCCTGTTGATCGCCAGTGTAAGCATATATACTGAATGGGGTTATTCTTGAGGTTTCTGCGTACATCTGACCGTCGGAGGCGGCGACGACAATGATAGCACCGTCCATGTTGGCGGCACCAGTGATCATGTTCTTAATGTAATCGGCGTGACCGGGGCAGTCGACGTGGGAGTAGTGACGAGCATCGGTGGCGTACTCGATGTGGGCAGAGGAGATGGTGATACCACGCTTACGCTCCTCAGGAGCCTTGTCAATGGCACCATACTCGAGGAACTGAGCGAGACCCTTGGAGGCCTGGTGCTTGGTGATGGCAGCGGTCAAGGTGGTCTAGAGGAAACGTGTGAGAAGTTTTCGGACCATATCGGGGAAAACATCAACGCAGCGAGGGGGGAGGAGGGAATTGTGGTCTAACCTTGCCGTGATCGACGTGACCAATGGTACCTATAGAATGGCAATGAGTAATTTGATTGATGGATCGTTAAGAGATGAAGATGGCAACCTACCGATGTTGACGTGAGGCTTGGTACGCTCGAAAGCGGTTGCCATACCACGGGCAGCCAGCTTGTCGCCGAGGAAGACATGCTGGATGGGGTTGACAGCGCGGGGGCGCAGCAGGGAGGCCCTGCTAGAGCGGAAAAGGAGGTTGGCAGATCTGGCGAGGCTGGACATGATGGCTACCCTGCGATGGAAACACAACCGGACAGGAATGGGAACAGGAAGAAGACGAGCTGAACGGCCGGGAAGTTCGAGCAGCGCTTCTTGTTGAGCCCGGAAAAATTTAGGGAGGCGCTGACTCAGCCGTCAGCCAATCACACTTGCAGTATTGCGGAGTCGCCAGGGACGAATAACCTTGAAGGTTGGAGATGGCGTAGTATACCAGGTACAGGCATAGAACAACTCAAAGGCGGGCTATCTGATTACATGTAGTTTTGATGTCTTTTTTCTTTATTTTTCCTTCCTTTTTTTGATTTTACTCATATATATCTCTCTGTTTTATATAACGAGGTTATGCACGCTTCGTGCCCCCGAGCTTCCGCGATACCGGTAGTATAGCTTCGCTTCATGTGCCCCATATCCCGACCTGACAGCTAGAGCTGCAATACTAGGTACAGTATATCATACGACACCCGACATGCTAATAATGCCACCATCGTTTTATATGGTATAAGGCACATCATGTCAATAGTGATTGAAAAGCTTGATAAGGCATTTCCAAGCACCGATGATCAGAGTGGTCCGTTATATGTACAGAACCAATACCACTCAAGGCCGTCAATAGTATACATACTAAACTCCATCAACTCATCATGTTTCCTTATCCTCTCAAACATCCTTCTTCACCACCAGCACCACATGCTTGCCCGGCTCTCCTTCCATGGGTCTGACCGGCAAGGCTTTGGCCTCCCGAACCGTCTCCATGACCCGGTCCATGAGATTCTTGACCTCCTCCACAGTAGGAGATCGCTTGTGCTTCTTTCTCGTCAAAATCAGCTCCACCTTCCGACCCTTCTCCAGAAAAGTTGTGAGTTGCTTCAAGCGATGTGCCAGATCATGAGCATCAATGGCCCAATTCAGTTCTAGCTGTTTAAGACCATCCTTGACAGGTTTCGCCTTTGCTTTTGCGAATTCCCGCAGCTCAAACTTGTTTACAACCTTGCAAATCGGCACTCCATCCCCACTACCCGGTGACACCTGCTGCAATGTTTGACTTGAACGGTCGATTTGTCGCAACGCATCTCGAAGACTGACAGGGGGGTCAAGGCTGTTGTTTTCGTTCACGATTTGGACATATAGCGCTCCGATCTCTTCGTCGAGGATGTATTGCGGCAGGGCACGAGGGGTAGCTCTTGTGCGGAATTTGAGGAGAGGAGTAGTCGGGCTGTAGGATCGAGTGGGGATTTCATTGATGCGGGGAGTGAGTTGGAAGAATTGAGGACGAAAGGCAGGTTGAGGAGTGAGGAGGATTTGGCGAAGAGCCCGAGTGGGAGGGACGAGACGGCGCATGTGCTTCATTTCCAAGAAGTGACAGCGGCGCTGACACCGACAGACAACAAAAGAGGAGAGGAATTCGAAGGGATTATTGGACAAGAGCAGAGATCAAGATCGGGACGGAAGAACTGGGGATTAAATTCCAAGGGTGGCTATCATAGGCTGCAGCGAACCATATGGTGAGGTCAATGTTCGGGAATAATAATGAGGCCGGGCTGAGTCTGGCTGCATGCGGCGACCGCCCACCAGCCACGGGGGGACACCAACGCCACAAATCGAGCCAGTTACAGCCAGTGGTAGCCAGCAGGCGGAAGCGGAGCCCCCCATTCGTTTCAAAAAAGACCCTGAGAGGCCAAGAATAATTAAGAACAAGTACTAACTGGCCTTCATTTGCCTCTCTCCGTGTCTCCTCCTCCTCCACCTCACCCTCATTCTTTCTTTCTTCCTCCCTCCCTCTCTTCCACTCTCTCCCCTCCTCCTCCCCATCCTCCCTTCCATTCGTTGGTTGGTCTTTTGCTTCCCACTATCTTTGTGGCCTGCACCGGAGGCGCCCGGACGATCCTATGCTTTCTCTTCGTTCCTACCGTTAATCGTCTTTCTTTCCCTTTATATCAACTCGGTCGGAATACCGAGAGCGTTGTCTGCCGGACGTAACGCTACAGCCTTTACCGAATACTTGGCTTTGTCCGCATGTCGACTGGTGTTGACAGTCGACATACTCCACGTACATCGTCCTTTTCCGCGTCAGGTTCTAGACCTAGCAGGCGTTCGGTGTCGCACCCTTCCGAACCCGCGATCCCCTTAGTCGCCTTGGACAAATCGATCGGCAAATCTCGTCGCAGTTTGTCCCACATGATGATGTCCCAAAGCCAGCGCTCTCGCTACCTGAAGACAGGTGCTATTGTCAGTGCAGTGCTTCTTCTGTTGCTATGGCTGTCGCCGTCCAAGCCCACAGTGAGCAGCATTGGATCCCGTAAGTGACCACCCCCTATAACGGGGAAAAGTCGATCTGGACTGACGGTCAATCTCCAGAGCCACCGTTGAATGGTGTCGCTCCCCTAACGGACAAGTGCACGAAACCTCATGACCCCTCCAAGCCTCTGATCCAGTATGCGCTTATGATCGACGCGGGCAGTCAGGGCTCTCGCATTCACGTCTACCGCTTCAACAACTGCGGCCCCACCCCCGAATTGGAGAACGAGGTCTTCGAGCAAACCGAGAAGAGACAGGGTGGCTCCGGACTGAGCGCCTACAAGGAAGATGCTGAGGGAGCGGCCAAGAGTCTGGACCCTCTGATGCAGGTGGCTCTCAAGTCCGTGCCCGCCGACTACCAGTCCTGCTCCCCCATTGCCGTGAAGGCCACCGCTGGACTGCGTATGCTTGGCCCCGAGATGAGCCAGAGGATTCTGGAGGCCGTGCGTACTCGCCTGGAAACCGTCTACCCCTTCCCGGTTGTCTCCCGTGAGATGGGTGGTGTGCAAATCATGGATGGCAGTGACGAGGGTGTCTATGCCTGGATCACAACCAACTACCTCCTCGGTAAGATCGGCGGTCCGGACGAGACCCCTACTGCTGCCATCTTTGATCTGGGCGGTGGTTCCACTCAGATCGTTTTCCAGCCCACGTTCCCCCAGAGCCCCTCGGGCGGTATGCCCGAGCACCTGGCGGACGGTGACCACAAGTATTCGCTGCAATTCGGCGGTCGTCACTTTGACCTCTACCAGCACTCTCACTTGGGTTACGGACTGATGGCTGCTCGGGATGCTGTACACAAGGCGATCGTCGATGCCAAGTTGGCCGCCAGCCCCGTTGATATGTCCTGGTTGAAGCAGCCGATCTCCAACCCCTGCATTGGACCTGGTATGGAGCGCGATGTCGAGTTGACCTTTGACAACGACCACCCGCTCGCCGGTAAGGTGACGGTGAAGATGGTTGGCCCGAAGCAAGGCGCTTCTGCGGCAGCTCAGTGCCGTGGCTTGACTGAGAAGATCCTGAACAAGGATGCTGACTGTAAGCTGGCGCCCTGCTCCTTCAACGGCGTTCACCAGCCGTCTCTGGAAAAGACTTTCGCCCGCGAGGATGTGTACATCTTCTCCTACTTCTACGACCGCACCAAGCCCCTGGGCATGCCCGACTCCTTCACCTTGGATGAGCTGCACCAGCTCACGTCGACGGTCTGCGCGGGTGAGCCCGCATGGGGCATCTTCGAGGGTGTTGAGGATGCGCTGCCCCAGCTGCGCGATCGCCCCGAGTGGTGCCTTGACTTGAACTTTATGCTAGGTCTGTTGCACACGGGATACGAGATGCCCTTGTCGCGTGAGGTGAAGATTGCGAAGAAGATCAAGAACAACGAACTTGGCTGGTGTTTGGGTGCTAGGTAAGATACCCTTTATTATACTACTTTGGATCAATGCACGATACTAACGAGTGACAGTTTGCCCCTGCTGAGCCAGGAATCCGGCTGGACCTGCCGGGTGAAGGAGGTCTCCTAGACGAACAGACGTTAGGTGATGCAGCGACGACAGTTTAATCCACCTTGCGCACGTGCGCTTGGACGTATACATGTCTAATATCATGCAAATACACTAGATCATTGATTTATTATTCCGTTCCATGTGTATTCTTAGACTTGGCTGGTGTTTGTTTGGGTATGATTATTATGTTATGCTTGATCTATGAATCCAGAGACTGTATGACATGTAGGCCGGAAACACTTTTGTAAACCCACTCCTTCTAAAATGCCAAGATGCGAAAAACCCAGACGAACTCTATAGTAGCGACCAACTTTTATAAACCAATTAGGAACCCAAAGCGCCAACCCATGCAATCAGCAGACTTTTCTTATATCTCCTCAATCGTCGGCTTCTCCTTCTCCGCTGAAGACTCCGCATTGCCCATCAAAGTATCCAGCACATTCGAGTCCTTGCCAGATTTCGGCCTCTCAGGCAGAACATGTTGATTGTCCTGACCACCCTGCGACTCGAGATGATCTTCCTCGTTATCATCACCGGGCCGCTTCTCTTCGAGCACACCTAGTCCCAGATTCTGCACCCAATTAGCATCCCAACCACCGAACATAGGAATTATATCTCAATCATACCATCTCAATATACCGCTTTCCCTCCATATCCTCGTCCTCGTCCTCGTCATCATCATCCCCATCAATTTCCAGTTGCACATCCTTCGCCCTTCCCGCCGCAATCTCCTGTTCGAGCTTCTCATTCGCAGTTTTCATCTGTGGCAGGAAAGCCGATAGTCGGGACAGTAGGTCAGGGTTTTTGTTAATGCGGCCGATACGAGGTTTAGGTATAGCAGGAATGCGCGGCATGTCGTCGGAGGTAGTAGTGGTCTTCTTCTGGTTTACTTCTTCATCTTCCTCATCGTCGTCGCTGTCGCTGTCACTATCGCTAGACCCAGATGAGGAGGTGTAGTCATCGTCGTCATCGTCATCTTCATCTTCCTCACGGCCAGTGGTGGAGGTAGCGGTGTGTTGGAGATGGTCGTCGTCAGCGGGGGAGTGTTCGCGCCGATCAAGATCGCGAGCGGTAGAAGTGGTAGTGGTAGTGGAGGAGGGATCGACTCCCTGGCGCTTCGTAGTGGAGGGCATCTTCTTTGCTTTCAGTAACGATACAAAGAGATGGTTGGAAAGAAAAGTAACAGCAGTGGTGGTGATTGAAACAGGATCGACCGAAATCTGCGGGCAAATTGGCGCCGCAGTGGGGAAACCCAACCCGCGGGATTGGCGGGGTCAGAGCCATTTTACTCCTTAACTAGTGGCCGTGGCCCTACTTTACCAAGTAGTACTCTGACTAGTGTAAGCAGCCTTAATGCTGCTAACTATGGAATAGTTAGTAGCTGACGCCATGACACCAATCGATCTGGCCAGTTATCCGTCCGGCGTGTCTTCTGCCTGCATATGTGAGCGGCAGGCACACACTAAGTGGCTGTGTTGGGGGTTGTTGTTGGTTACTTATTGTCTGGAGTGTACTTTAGTGAATGAGTGAATCCCTTTCTCTCTCACACACATTCTCACTCTCTCTCTCCTTATTGCTGCTACTGCTGATGCTGATGCTCTGGTGGAGTCAATGCGTGATTGATAAAGTCGCTCATATCCCCTCTCTCCTCCCCTCCTTCTCCTGAGACAGGTTCCTATTGTATCGTCCCCTGTTCATCTCTGCTTTTGACGCAAGTTGTATCTGGGAATTCCCGGTATAGCTTCATTCGCCATTCATTTGGGTAAGTCAGAACCCTTTGTTCCCCCATTGTCTCGCTGCCCCTCCAACTGTACGAACAAACCCCTTGTCTTACTTCCTCTTTCTTTCTGTCCTCCTTCTTCTCCTTTATGGCCATTTATGGCACCAATGCAATGCCTACCTGCTCATAAACAATAGGATTCTCTTCACTGGGAACTACTATATACCCCATACACAAACCGGATTGATCCTGATGTCCACCCACAACCTCAAGCAGGACAGATAAGCCGAGACACCCACACTCATAGTATACACACATACACACTCTCTCCAACCAACTTACCACCCACCATCACAAACATGAGCACCATCCCCAGCGTCCACATCAACGACAAAAGCCCCATAGAGGACCGCGACACCTCCTCCACCTCCCCAACCACCCGCAAATCCCTGCACCAGAACATCTTCGGCAAACTACGTCCCCTCCCCTTCCAATACCACTGGACAGTCTGGTACGACCGCCACACCGACGCCCCAGCAACAGCAGCGTCAGCATCAGGCGCAACCGCAACAGCAAACTACGACTCGCGTCTCTACGTCCTACACGAGGATGTCGCCGACATCGCCACCTTCTACCGCGTCTACAACAACTACCCGTGGGACAAGATCCGCCTGCGCGACACCGTCCACATCTTCCGCAAAGGCGTGAGACCCGTCTGGGAAGATCCCGAGAATCAGAACGGGGGGTGCTGGCGCTTCCGCGTGCCGAAGAGTAAAGCCCAGGCGTTCTTTCATGAGATTGCCATTCTATGTATGGCGAATGAGTTTCAGGCGGTTTTGGAGAAGGGTTAGCTTTCCCCTCCCCTCCCCATTCTTCTTTCTTTCTGTTGTGTTGTTGTTGTGTTTATGATATGGATCATCTACTAGTAGAAGTAAACTTGTGAGTATGCGAGATATGATAGTACTAACCGGAGAAATGAGGAATATAGAACACGACCACGTCCTCGGCGTCTCCACCTCCGTCCGCTTCAACTCGCATCTCATCTCCGTATGGAACAAGCTCGGCTCTAATGAACGGTCTATCAAGGCTCTCGAACAGACTATCATCGATCGATTATCCCCTGAATTAAGGCCCACGGGGACGGGTTCCACTGCTTACTTTTATAAAAGGCATGATGAGAATGAGGGGTTTCAGGAGGCGGTGGAGAGGAGTAAGACATGATTTAGTTCTTTCTAAGGGAAAGTTTGGATAGTTGGTGATCCTAAGTAGGTGGTAGAGAGAAGTTGGGATCTCCGGATAAGATATGGGAAGGGTGATGGAGCATGTATGTATGTGCATATTAGATTTTGTACATGGAATTGAGATGTTTTCAAGTGTGGTATTGTGTTGCGTTCTGGTTGGGATTGGAGAAGTAGGAATGGTATATCATCCTATATACTTGGTAGAGAGATATACTGCTATTAGAATTCATAGCTACCTTGCAGCGCTGACTTTCCTAATTATTGTATACTATGAGGCATATAGACCATGAAGACTATACCATACTAGTATATTCCAGCCGGGTAGTAAGTAGTTCGCTGAACAAACAATTGATGATTATCTTATGAGCGAAGCACTGCGCTCAGATACGATTATGTACTAGGAAGTAGTAGTAGTAATAGATGGAAAACTTAGACCACCAAATAGTATCAGCAGTAATAAATGTCTATCCATGAGATTCATTACCTTGGTATATTACAATCGATTATTTCGTTTCCATCGTCCCTCCCTCCCTCCATCATCCCATCCTTGGAATAGGCATGGGCATATCACCTCCCATCACTCCTCCGGCTCACACTCCTCCTTCTCGCCCTCCTATCATCCCCCTCCCGCTCCCTCTCCCTCTCTCTATCTCTATCTCTCTCCCTATCCCTATCCCTACCGTTAGTCTCACTATCACGCTCACGTTCACGCTCACCACCACCACCAGTAGCAGTAGTAGCAGCAGCAGCAGTAGCACCAGGAATATACCGATCAATCTCAACAAAGCGCGGTCTATCACGCTCATCTTTCTCCGCTCGTTCCGGTGATCGCACCCTCCGACGAGGAGACCGGCTCCGACGACTAGTAGGCGGCACGTAGCGATCGATATCGAGGAGACTCGGCGAGCGGCGTCGACTGCGTGATCGTCGGCGCGAGCGGGATCGTCGTCTCGAGGATACCGATACGCGGCGGGGAGGGGATTTCTCGTCTTTGGGGGGAGGGTCGGCGCGGTCGCGGTCTCGGCCTCGATCTCGTTCGCGGTCGGTTGTGTCGCGGGGGCGGGCGTCTCGGTCTCTATCTCGGTCTCGATCTCGGTCTCGGTCTCTATCTCGATCTCGGACGTCTCTATCGCGATCTCGGTCACGGTCACGGTGGGCAGAGCGGGAGCGTGTGCGGGAGCGGTATCGGGGTCGTGATCGGGATCGGGAGTAGTAGCTGCGGCGGCGGCGGTAGTCGTCTCGATCGCGGTCACGGTCACGGTCACGGTCTCGAGGTCTGTCGCGGTCTCTGTCTCTGTCTCTATCTCTGTCTCTATCTCTGTCTCTATCTCTGTCCCGGTCTCGGTCCCGGCGATCTCGGTCTCGATCACGGCTGCGGTCGCGGCGGTAGTCATGGTCGCGGTCACGGTCTCTGTCATGATTTCGAGTAGTAGATCTGCTTCTGCTCCGGCGGCTGGGGCGATAGCTCCGGTCACCGTATCTGTTATCCCGGAAATCGCGAAGAACCAGTCGGTCATCCGAGTCACGATTACGGGGCTGGCTGGATACGTCGCGCGAACGCTCTGGACGGTCATCGTCAAACCGGGAGGAGAACCTCCGTCGTGAGCGACTGCGACTCTCGTCGCGCCTCTTTGTCCGGGGGCGATCGTCTGCTGTTGATCCGCGTCGTCGATTGGGCTCGGCCTCGACAGCCGGACTACCAGCCTTGGTCGGAGTGTTGGAGAATCTCGAGTCAGCCTTGGGCCCTTTCGGCGGCGGCTTGAGACCATTTTCGATGGCCTCCGCTTCCTCAAAGTCGAACTCGGGCTTCTGTCGTGCCTTGGCTGCCAGCTCTTCTCCCTCCTTCAGCAACAGTTGTAGCGCCGCCTCCTCCAACGACTTCTCGTCCACTGGCGGCGCCGCTGGCGCAGCTGCAGGCGTAGGTTCTTTCGGAGTCGGTGACTTTTCTTTGCGCGAGTCGCGATACCGTGGGGAGTGGGCGCGGTCAGAGCGATAGCCTGGCGAGCGATCTCGGTAACGGTAACGATCTCTATCCCTATCCCTATCACGGTCTGAATCACGGTCTCGAGTTCGGCTTCGATCGCGCCAATCGCGATATCTGTCGCGCTCTTCGCGGCGGCGGCGTTCGTAGCGTTCCTGTCGTTCCTTTTCTCTCTGCTCATCCAGCTTTCGCTGCTCTTCGCGGCGCTGTTCCTCGCGCTCCCTCCTCCTGGCTCTCTCTTCTTCTTCTTTCTGACGTTCCAACTCACGTCGCTTGCGATCTTCCTCCGCCTTCTTGCGCGCTTCTTCCTCTTCAATCTCCTTTTGCTTGCGCAGCTCCTCCTGCCAGACCTTTTCGCGCTCGTCGCGCTTCGCCTTCACATTAGCGGCGTAGTCCTCATCAGTTTTGTTCCCTGCGGTTTCCTCCTGCGCGGCAAGCTCCTCGCCGACCTCATCGCGACGGATATCGCGCACGGAATCCAGAATAGCGGGGAGGTGTTTCTCGGCCAGCGCATCAAGGGTATGTTCGACAGTTTTGTAGACATCGCTTCGATCCACGGCACCTTCGATCAAAGTTGCAGCTTTTCCACGTTCGCGAGAAAGAAGACCGGGTTCGCGATCGATTTCAGATTCAGCGAGTTCGACCAGTAGTTTCGTAAACTCAATCTTCCCTTCCTGTAAAGCCAAGGCGCATTAATTAGCAAACAACAAACCCTCACGCAGAAAACGAAACAACAGCAATAAAATAACAATCAAAGATATAATAAATACCCCATCATGGAATTCAGACCATATCTTCTTCCGAATAGTATCAAATCCACCCCTCTTCTTGAATGCGTGCAGTAAATGCTCAATGGCCGAATGCTGCGCCGCGGACAAAGGCAGCTCATCCGTCTTGAACTTCTTCCGCTGCAGACTGTCCAGATCCATAGAAGAAGACGTAGTAGGCCGCTTCACACCTGCTGTCACATCCATCATCTCCTCTGGACCAGCCATGACGAGAGACTGAGAGATGTAACAAGCTTGCAATAAAACTTTCAAGCTTGGGGAAATATTAGAATAGAGGCTTTGAGAAAAAAGGAACTGAACTTCCGGGGATAAACCCGCAAATGCGGCGCGCAGGACCCGACCAAAAGGCACCGACCGCCCGGCAGAAACAGCCCTCCCACGGCGGAACGATAATCCGGACAACAGGAAACGCAGATTGGGAACCACGGCCCCGTGATTCGCCGGGTGTGTGAAGGTCGAACCTCATCTCCGTCGATTCAAGCCCGTGTTGGTCCGCAATTGTTGTCGTGAAGTTGAACATTGGAACCTTGTTGCGACTTCCGATCAATTTCCATTCTTTAATATACCTTCCGCCGCGAATCCTCCTCTTTTCCTCCACATCAATCATGGTTCACAAAGTCCTCTTCTGGGGCGGCTTCGGTATGTTCACCACATCCACACCACCCACCCTTGCTATACCAGCACGCAACTGCTAGCTAGCTAGCTAGCTGTCTCCCATTCGCTCCCCTTATATCCAATTGCTCGCCATACTATATATCAAATACTAATACCTACTCCAACAGGCATCGCCGTCCGTCTCTGGCAACTCGGTATCGAAATGCGTCCCATCCTAGCCAAGGAGTCCCTCTGGGTGTACCCCCTCTTCGCCGGAGTCGGAGGCAGCTTTGGTTACTGGCTGCAGGGCGTCGAGAACCGTCAATTGAGAATTCTTGCACAGCGCCGGGAAGCTATCCTGGAGAAGCGCCGGAGGAGAGACGAGCGCGAGTCGGTGGGGTTGAGCAAGCCTGAAGAGGCGGGTGTTTTGGCTGCGGCGGCATAAATGAATTGTGATGTTGTTGCGATGATAAAGGATAGGAAGAATTGTGGTTGAGTTGGGTGCTAGAGCTGGCCGGAAAACTGAGGCTTTTGTACATTGCGTTTGTTGTGAATTCTATTATATTACATTATATCATTCATTTCCTGCGTCGCGGTGGTGGTGTTTTTGACGGTTTCTGAGGGCTTGGGGGGAGGGAGCCTATGAAAGATGGCCTGGAGGTCTGGATCTGGGCTTGATGGTATTTGATTAAAGAAGGGAGAAGGATATAGATCTATCTCAGGTGTCTTACTATGTCGGTTGTATGGTCAAAGAGTTGTTGAGGGTAGAGAGGTCCTGTGATAGTTGCAGAATGATCCTATCGTTATTTAGACCTATGAGTAATCGCGTGTATACTGCTCATAGATAGAATAATTCTTCCACTACCGTGTTGTTGCCGATATAGATAGCACCATTCAAACTAAGTAACACCGTGTTGCCCCGGATGACCTTTCCAGAATCACTATAAACGCACTACTAGACATGATAGTAGTAGTGATTGCTGCCTACGGAGAGGTGGGAAGTTCTGCAGGAAAGACACCGTCTACTTCCAGTACCAGGTATTTACTCCTACAGCGAGGACACAGACAGCATGATACCATTCCCAGTAAAACGTATTATTATTCCGGTATATCTTCATTGAATCCTAATATGATCGTATATGTACAGCAAGACATCTGCCAGCTCATGCCTTCTCGGCCGTAAACTGCAGCGAAACTTCCCACTTCTGCCCTCCAGATCCGTACCCTCCACCCAAGCGATTTTTGATGAGGCTGGCTATCCGTTCACGCAATCGCACTAGGTTCTCTTCAGTCCCAGATACCCGGAGCTTCAAGTTGGCCATGCAAAGCCCGTAATGAACCTGCCAGAACCGGGCGTCATCGACGCCGTAGACGCAGGGATCAGCCTCGATATCCCGGATCACCTCGGACACCCCCGGTCCGGAATAGGACATTAGAAGCATGGATCCCAGTGTTTTCACTAGGCGCACCCCAATAACGCACATTGAGATAGAAATCGTGCTGGAAAGCAAAACATCCAGCCAGTTGTAGAGCTTGATAGAGACAAGGGGCAGCAACAGGAGCAGCGTGGAGCATGAGAGCGTCAGGAAATGGGACGGGTTACTAAGAACCGAGGGAAGCGACTCAATGTACCCAAACCGCATCGCCTTCCCTATCCGTCCGTGGTTCTTGAGACCGATGGCGGAGATCAAGGTCGATGATATGGCCAGCAGAGCAGTGAAATCCACACGACCGAGGGAGACGCGTTCGTGGACATGCGTATGGTGAGGCTCATGGCCGGAGGATTCAAGAAAGTGTTGCAGACTATGGGAAATGAGATCCATTCCCATAAACAGCAAGAGTACGCACATGGCGAATCCCGCAAGCACTTCTGCGCGCTCCAATCCGAATGGGTGTCGAACACTGGATCGCTTCCATACTTCAAAGTTGCCCAAGATGTCGACAGCAACGCAGAGCAATGCGCCGATTGAATCGAACAGGATCAAGTGCGAAAGGGCCGTCATAGCCAATGATCCATGAGCACTCCATAGAGTATAAGCGGCAACAGACATGTGGCAAACGCTCCACCAGAACCGGGTAGTCTGGTCCTTGGACATACTGGAGCGATATTCTTTGAACGTCGGTATAGGCAGCGAGTTAGGCAAAGCTAGAGGGGCTCGTGGGGGCGGTTCCAGGAAGATCTGATGTGAAATGCTACTGTGCTTATACTTGTGTCCACGTCGCTGGCCAATGTTCTACGTCGCATTGACGGCTTCATTAGTATGTTCATCTCCAAGCTGGAAGTAAGCGACACTTACAGACTTCACGACTGGACTCTTCGCCATTGACGTAGTCTTGAAATTGAACGGTCCCGCCGAAGCATTGTCGCTCTGATCACTGGGCTGTAATGCGTCTGCTGGGCTGAGGTTGAAGCCCGCCCGTGTAGGACTCAAGCGATTGGCATCACTGGGATCTAACGAGCCCCGCAGGTTTGGAAACGTGTCCCTCAATGGCGATAAGGAGTCTTTATCTTGGAGACGGGGCGACTGGCTTGAAGTGCTGGCAGGGTCATCCAGGGGAGGCGTCGGGGTGCGCGGAGGAATAGGGATAGGGAGATTGGATGCCATGTTCGAATGACGCCAAAGAGCTGGCACCCGCGCCAATGGCCTCGGTGCTAGCTCGAAGAACGTCGCGTTACACGTGCGAAACACGCGCAAAAGTGTATAGAGGTGAAGTATGGAGACAAGCAAGGGCCTGAGGTCGGGAATGTTGCGGGATAGCCTTATCACTCCAGGCCTCGTCGGTTGGCTTTCGGCCCCATCCGAGGTGGAGGGGGACTCACCGCCCGGCCGGCGCATTCGTATCGTGGTACTACTGTGCATCGCGGTACAACTTGTATAGTCGGGTGTAGCGATATGATGGAGACCCCTGCTTCCCTAGTAATTGATAGTGTAGGTAGTATCGATGCAGTTGATAGCATTGTAGTTATTCTGGGTATGCATTATTCTATATTATAGGCTCCTATAGCTCACATTATCTGCTTCAGGTAATTGCGACTTCTACTGCAGTGCTTCTAGTGGTACACTCCATCCTCATTGAACACAAGTCTTAGGGTATAGAAATACAGCTCATTCATTCTATAAAGCCAACCATGACCATGGCAGACCAATAACAGTGATATCGTATATTCTTATAACCGCAGACAGCCTTTTGTTGAATAAAAGGGTCCGCCGATAGCGGCATGACGTAGCCAGCTCTCTAGACAGTCATTATGTGGTGAAAACATAACCATCCACACACAACAATCATACCCAATAAAACCCCAAGACAAAATAAAACAGTTCAAATGACCTAACAATCATAACAAAGTCGACGCCATGCACAGAAGCGGCGGCGCGCATATAATCCGTACCCAGACTTTGAGCATCCATCCATTCAAATACTTCGTGACCCACACACGCACTCACACACATATCACGCTTACTCCTCATCAATAGTAGCCTTGTAGGCAGCCTCGTCCAGCAGTCCGTCCAACTCTGCGGCATCGTTCACCTTGATCTCCGCAATCCAGGCATCACCCTCGGGACTCTGGTTGATGAACTTGGCATTGTCGTCCAACACAGCATTGCCCTGGGTAACAACACCCGAGACAGGCGAAAGGACGTCCGAAGCGGACTTGACGGACTCGACAGCACCGACGGGCTCACCGGCGCTGACCTCCAGGTCGACCTCGGGGAGCTCCACGAACACAACGTCGCCAAGGGAGTTAGCAGCGTACTTGGTGATTCCAATCTTCGCTGTAAATGGTAGAAGAAGGCGTTAGTGGCTAAACAAGAGTAGTTTGTCCGGGAAGGCTGTGGTAGACGAACCAGTCTTGCCGTCCTCGGCGAGCTCGATCCACTCGTGCGACTCAGTGTACTTCTTCAATTGAGCTGTTGGGAATCAACTATTAGCTTTGAATCCAATCTAGGGGGTCTGAATGCCCTCATGCGACTGAAATCTAGGGGGTTGCTCACAAAGTGGGCTCTGGGAGAAGCTCCGGACACTTCCCCGCGGGAAACTGGCGGGTGCGGCCCTGCAGACGGAAGAGAGGGGGAGCTTCTGCGACAGGACGCGAGAAGCGAAGGGGCGGAGGGATCTAGCGGCGAAAGACATGGTGGGCAGCTGGAGTTGAGGGGAGGAAGAGGGAGAGGAGAGAATCTGGAAAAGTGAAGAAGTGTGAGTTGAATTGGAGAGAGAAAGGAAGAAGGAAAGAGGGAAGTAAATTAAATATGAATGACGGAGGAGAGAGCGATTCCCGGCGCTGATAGCGGGCGCCAAGCCGGGTGCTGATAAGGAAGTCGAGTTCGAGCCTCCGCAAATGACCTTCGGAAAAATCTCATCCCCTTCCAGTTCCGTGTTTGGTTCTCCGTCGTCCTTTACGTTCCCCGACGCTATTTTCACAGTCCAGACCCCACTCCACATTGTCGGCGCCATGTTGTACGAACTGATTGCTGTTGTATGTTTCCAGACGATTCTGTTTAATGAACTTTATTATATACATTGAATCGATGCTAATTGATGACTGCAGGTCCGTCCCGGTAGCCTCCAGGAGGTTAGAGAGTACGTGCCTATCGATCCTATTTGACCACCTCATACCCTTACGCAACATGCTGCTATCGCCGATCCATCATTATTCACGGACTATCACTGACAGACGACAGCATCGCCCGCAATGCCGGCATCCAGGTCCTCCGCTCCGGCGGCGTAGTCCGCGGATTCACCAACTGGGGCACCTTCCGTCTGCCCAGGCCCACGACGAAGCATCAGGCCCGCTACAGGGAAGGCCACCACTTCATCATGCGCTTTGATGCCTCCGGTCCCGTGCAATCAGCTGTCCGCAGAACTCTCGGTCTCGATCCCCGGATGGTTCGGTTCTCCGTTGTCAAGCTGGGCGACAAGCTGGAGGAAATCAAGCACGTCGATGGCAAGGTCGAGTGGAACAACAATCGCACTATCTCTGAGACGTTCTAAGTGTGATTCGAATGTGATGTGGATTGGTTGCAGTTATGCGATTGTGCGTCGTTCGGGACACGGAAAATGATTTAATTGTCAATGTATTATTTACGGGATGGGTTTCTTTGTATATCATATCAGCATTATCGGCGCATATACCTTACTTGGCAGATTTGGTCAATAAAGATGGTGATCTGTTTCTTTTGTGCAGTTGTGTCAATATGCATTTATGACGGATGAGCATTGGAACATCCGTCTCAGAATTAGGGAAATACTCCGGATGACGGAGGTGTGACCATGACGCTTTGAGGAGCGTATGTCTATAATTATAGAAAAAGAGAAATCTGTGATATATGCTACTTCAGCTCCCAATCTACCGGAATCACTTCGTTTTTACCGGGTTACACTGCAGCACGGATCCTTAAAACAGCGATATACGCAAGGAATGGAACAAAGATGATCCAGACTTACCCCAAGCATGAGCACTGCAAAACACATAAAGGGATAATCGGCACAGCCTTGCCATATGGGGAGCATACCAGGAACGGCACCATGTTGATCATCGAATATGCTTCACGGGTAGCCAACCAACTCCGCCCGGTCAGCCGAGGCTCTGGTGAACCATGTCGGCTAAATGAGTAGTCAGTCGATAGACTCAGCGCCAACATACAATCCCACTTTCACCCTTATCATGCTCCCATGTGAAGAGTAAAGGGGCGCAATCTCGAACATAACATTCCTGCCGTTGCACTGTACAGTGGATATACTACAGATTGAAGCAGGCAGGCATCACCAGTCATTAGTACATACATCCCAGCCGGAGCACAACCCCTCACGCATACACCACCGACATCAACAACATCAGCAGCAGCAGCAAATAAGCCCAACCATACACCATTCCACATTATACATACACACAATGCATGACCCAACATTCAACGAAAGCCCATCCTCCTGGGCAGAGCTAATGGCACTCCGTCGCCTCCCCAACCCACCCAGCAGCAGTACCACGGAGCCCACCGAACGATTCGAATCCATAGCACCACCCTATCCCCCAGGCGAAGGAACCCGTGCCTTTGGCGGACATGTCTATGCCCAAGCTGCCTACGCAGCATCCCAAACCGTAGAGAAGGGGTTTGTGATCCACGTAGGTACCTACCTGCTCACCCCTTGAAAGCACACATTGACACCAAAACCACAGAGCGTAAGCGGAACATTCATCCTAGGAGGCCTCCTAGACGTTCCATACGAGTACACGGTGCGCCACCTGCGCGATGGAAAGATGTACTGCACGCGGTCCGTGGACGTACGACAAGCGAACCAGATCTGTTTCTCGTGCTTATGTTCCTTCAAGCGAGGGGAAGGTCAGAGCGGGTTTGCGCATCAGCCTGCGCCTGTGCAGGAGCGGTATGCGTCCGTTATCGCTGGAAAGAGGGCGGAGGAGTACCCTGTTAGTCCGAGCGTGGATGCAGATTGGTGGATTGAAGGTGTAAAGGCTGGCGATCTGACCGAAAGGGAGTTTCCTGGGGTGGATGCGCGAAAGGTTGATATGGGGACGTTCAATCAGACGGAGGATGTGAAGAGCCATCCGGAGAAGTATCGCCAGTTGGCGATGTATTCGATCAAGGGGCTTCCGATACTTGGTGAGGAGGAAAGGAGGGTGAGGGAGAGGGAGGAAGCGGGGGAGTTCGATAACTTGTATGCATGCGCGCATATGTATGCTTGTGATAGGAATTCTTTGTTGTTGATTCCTAGGGCGTTGGGGGAGACGAGGTGGTCGTCTATGGCGAGTTTGACGCTTACGGTTGTGTTTCATGAGTTGGGGGAGGCGTTGCGGATGCTTGATTGGGGTTCTGAGGGGAATGGGGGGCCGGGGAAGAAGTGGTTTATACAGGAGGGGTGGACTCCTAGGTCTGCGGAGAATCGGGCGGTTCATGAGAGTTGGTTGTGGACGCCGGATGGGAAGTTGTTGGCTACGAGTTATCAGGATAGTTTGTTGCGGTTGACGAGTTCGCGGGGGAAGCTTTGATAAAGTTGGGGCGTATACTGCTTTATAGATGTATGGGGCATTGTACAGGTGTTACGTGGATACAATGAAGTATATAGTCGTTTGCAGTTATCTACAGTTTTAGACAAACTATTAATTGTTGTTTGGTTGTGTCTGCGAGGAGATTTATGGTGCTCTGGGTTGTCCTTGATGACTGGCATGGTCTTTAGGATCGAGCACTGGTCTACAGGACCATAATGGTCGAAACACTGTAGTTAATGATTTTCAGATTGTTAAGCCGCAAACAGGTTTCTGTTATTGTGCACGAATTCTACATCACAAATATGAGTGTGTGAAATGTACTTCATAGCATCGATCACACCTGCAACAAAGACAGCAGCGAATATCAACCAAATACTAATTTCCAAATCCAGCTATTATGCCCTTTGATCATAGCGTCTTGATGCATGTAGGGTTCAGCACGCTGGCATACACATAGACGCTCGAAGTGGTTTGTTCGGAAGCCTAGTAATCAGATGGTCAAGATACCTATGATACCTGGGCTTTTGTCTAACCAAAGGCGACTGTTTTGCGAAACGATTGCGCTCTTGTAAAGACTCATGAGCCTGTAGGCCATCTACAATTCTCGTACATGTGAAACACCTGGTAATCTTGGTCTGGCTTCCTGAATCCGTTGCAGCTGTGTCCGAAATGGAACTATGAAAAAGACTCAGATAGCACTTTATTGCTACTGTTGATGATATAGTATCCTTGTCATGAATCCGCTGCCTTCTTGTAACTCAAGTTCGTAAAGGTCTCCATGGCGATGTCATTTACCATATTATCATACTAGGCAAGTGTAAATATATATAGGGGGATCGGCTACTGGAAGGAACCGTCACTCTGCTGCAACATCAGCTTCAATCGCTGGACTGAAAACAGTTCATTAAAATAGTTTGCATGCACTGCAATTTGATCAGCAATTTGTAGGCTTATAGGTAGTAATGTGGTGAGTGTGCAATGGTGATTCAATGTAAATGTACCTGTCACGTGACCGGGATACCCGATGACGTAGCTGCCTATTTCAGGCCGACCGAGATCTTCTCTTCTCGCGCCTCTCCACCTTTTCGCTCAGTCCACCCATTCTGCGGGCGTACTCTCAGTTAGTCGTACAAGTACTCGATATTGAAAAGGGGGGAATGTACCTTCCGGGTTATCCGGTGTGATACGATGAAGAAGACGCTGCTCCTAGTGTTCATCCATGGCTTCAAGGTACCGTGTGCATGCTCCACCCATTCCCAGCCAGCCCGTCTCTCTCCTTTGAGGCTGCACGTGCATGGACCCTACGGGATGTATACTCTGAACCTCACTACTAACATCCACAGGGAGATGATGATACGTTTGGAGAGTTTCCAGGGCGCTTTTGTGGTCTGATTAGTCGTGCCCTCCCCGCTGTCCAGGTCGTCGCCACTGTTTACCCAAAGTATGAGACTCGAGGCGAGCTAAAAGGATGCGTAAGTAACTTTCGGGAATGGTACGTCTAGTAGCCCATGCGATTCTTTCCGAGTGGAAGGAGCGTGCCATTGACCGTCATAGGCTCCAGAACAAAGTCATCGACTTGGAGGTCTCGAACCGAACGGCTTCACCGACAGTTGACCCTTCTGTGCATGTTATCCTGCTCGGGCATTCTATGGGTGGAATAGTGGCTGCCGAGACCCTTCTTCTGCTTGCATCGGAACAGCCGATTCCTGCACCATCTTCTGCAGATTCTGCAACCGACACTCTAGTGGATTCTGAATCTGCCGTGGGGGCGCAATCTTTCATGTTTCCTCACATTCAGGGTGTTATCGCATTCGACACTCCTTTTCTAGGCATTGCCCCGGGTGTCATATCATATGGTGCCGAAGGTCATTATCGAAATGCCACTACGGCGTACACCGCGATATCAGAAGTTGCCGGCTTGTTCGGCCTAGGCGGTAACTCTTCGAATAAGGCATCTACCGACCAGGGAAAAGCTTCCAACAAAAGTCTACCTCCTTCGGCTCCTAGCTCATCTTCAAATGCAGATGCTGCCGCGACACCATCATGGCAACGGTGGGGCAAATATGCCATGTTTGCAGGAGCTGCAGGAGCATTGGCTGCGGGCGGGGCGGCCGCGATGTATTCACAGCGAGACCGACTGACGGATGGTTGGGGCTGGGTATCATCCCACCTGTCATTTGTCGGTTCTTTAGCACGGCCGTCTGAATTACGGAGGCGCCTTGCACTACTTGCCGAAGTCCAAAGGGACCGAGGTATCGGCTGCACTAATTTCTATACGTGCTTGGGCCAAAATGCAAGTGATCTAGTGGAGAACAAGAACGTCGGGACATCGTCGTTCAGCCAGAAGATAATACGCTCGAAGAATCGCACTTTCTGCTCGCTTCCCGCGGAAGTAGAAAGTTCGGGGTCTTCCCAACAAGACATCCGATGGGCCAGGGCCGTGAACGATAAAGCTGCAGATGAAATCAAAGCACACATTAGCATGTTTTTGCCGAACGAGAATCCAGCCTTTAATTTACTCGTGTCTGATGCATGCAAAGTGCTGGTGGAGTCGGTTGACAAGGGCTGGTACGCCACGGCCACAGGGCCAATTGAAGAGGTGGACGGGAACATGCCGCGGTCCGACGATGGCCGTAGCAAAGACCAGACTGATAGCGGGTTCATGGACGGGGACGACGTTGTAGTCGTGGAGTGAAAAGGAAGAAAAAAAGGGAAAAAAGCAAAATAAGCCTGAGACATGAACGCACTATGACCATCCCAGAACCAAAACAATACTATAGCCAAGCGGATTGTCTCTTGCTAAATGGATACTGATCGCGGTCCCTCGACACCCGCATCGGCTTAATCCTCCAATCACCGAAGCCAAAAGGAAGAAAAAGAATCAGAATCCCTTCCAGAGCAATCCTTGCAGTCGACAAAAAGCGGATTATTCCACGTAATCTGTTTCACCCGCTGCAAGGATTAGGCTTGAACAGACGTGTGGCTGAAGGACGAGGGTCCGATCACCTCAAGTCAGACTACTACGTACTTAGTACTAGACTGACTTACTAGCGACGGAGACGGAGACGGAGGAGATGGGGGCGGGGCCAGCCAGCCAGGCAGCTAAACAAAAAACAAAACAAATCGCCTATGGCAATGCAGCCAGCGCTTTTCTCTCCCCTCCCCTCCCCCTTCTTCCCCCCTGAGGGGCATTTTCTAGGCCAATCTACCCTAGGCCCTAAGGATTTCCCCGACAGTCGTGGAGCTTTCCCGTTCCGAGTGACCGGCAATTGACAAACCACGCTCTAGTGGGCTTACCAGGAGCTGTCGGATTTGATTTCCACTGGCCAGCAGTCCAGTAGCGCAGTATGGTTCAATTTAGTAGGGCCAATGTAATGATTTTCCACCATCCTAGAACTCAACCATCAAATCAGACCACTAACTTAAAGTTCACCGTGCTCCTAGTCCACCGAATCCTTCTTCTTATTTCCAGATGGGGAAAAGGGGTCCTTCTTTGAGGCAATTTGAATGAGATGTTATTTACATTCGCTGCGAGGCACTTCGTGAAAATATATATAAAAAAAGATGAGAATAAGATAAAAACAAGAAACATGAATCGATGTGCAAGATACTTAATCAAACAAATGTTGTCAATACTAGATGTAAAAGGTTTATCCGGCGCGGGGCACGTTATCAGTCTCTTAATTGACGATAGCGGAGAGCCGATAGCGGGACCAAAGAAAAAAAGTAAAAAAAAGCAAATATTGGTAAAAGATCACGCGTAACTTTCAATTACACGCTCATGAAGGGCCCTCCATTGGGCCACAAGACAGAGATCGGAAATACCGCTAGAATGACACAAACCAGACTGATTGTAGTAATAATGATGAGAAAAGAGAAAACACCAAGATAAACCTAACTTTCGCTCTAAAGATACCCACATTGCCGATTTATGCTTAGATTTGATAATGATTGCGTGAGACTGCAGCGATTAGAGTTACACTAGGAAACAACGACAGGCAGTCGTTCGGCGACGGGCGGACGGAAGATGCAGTTTTGGCGTGAGGGTGGGCCGCTGAAGGAAGGAATAAGTGAAGTCTTAGGCTAGGTGTTAATGGCCGTGATAGGTCGACATGCGCTGATGATACATGCTCCCGGCATACTCCGAGTTTGCATCAGCGTAGTATCCTGTCTGGCGGCGATCTTCATCCGGAAGGAGTTCCTTGACCTCCCAGGTGTTGGGCTTAATTCCGACGGAAAACTCGAGATCTTCTTTCGTAATGTAGTCCCAGAACTAGACAGGGGTACGTGTCAGAGATATTGCAGGGTTCAGTGTTCTGGAAGAAATTTCGAAATACATACCTTGTACACCATCATGACAGCCAAGAGGTTGCAGAACGTGGCGAAGAAAAGACCGTCCATGTAATGTTGCACGCTATCGCAGATGGTGTCACTAAATGCGTAGAGGAGCACCTGACCACAGATGAAGACCACGAGACCGAACGCGATGTGGCCGAGAGGCCAGCGGTCCTCGAGGGTGTTCATTACCAGTAACAACGACATCACCAGATACACGGCGATGCAAATAGCGTTCAGGACATACAGAACGACAAACATGCCGACGGTGTTGGTGGGACCCAGGCCTCCCCACGACTTGAAGGTCGCGAGAGAGACTAGGAAGGAGATGACAAACATCGCCGCGGAAGAAAGCCGAAGAAGCCAGACAGAGAGAATAGTTCCGTCTTCATAGAGCTGGAAACCAACAAATCCGTTGATGAGCAGGGATGTGCATAGTGCCGATGCCAGTCCATTCTGCACCGCCGTAAAGTAAGGAAATGGGCCACTCCCAGGTGGAACGACCCCTGCGTCAAGGATCAGGGAACATAGGGTTAGAGCCATGTAAATGTAAAAAAACGTAATAATTTCCTTGCGACCTGTGATAGCATGATATTGGTCAATGATGTTCAGCTTTCAGGGACCACTCGACTCCAGTCAAAACGAGAAAGCCTAGTAGCCCGACA